AAGAATGATTAATTTGTTGGCTGGCAAAGCACATACCGTACGCACAGTTTAACACAAACGAAAGTTACGGTTCAAATCACAGTAAGTAGGTAGATAGGTACATGATATAACAGTATCCGTATTTGTTTATGTACGATTATAAGCGTTGTGTAGCGGGGTCGGCGCCGGCGCGGCCTTGGAGAAAGTAACGTCGGGTTTCACCGCAGTTTTGCGCGGCTGATCTCCCAGCGATACTGACGTAACCGTAAGATATCTCCTTTTATGAGCTTCGAGAAGGTGGTCATTCCGATAATACGATATGAGGGCAACGGCTATGTGTCCTGACGCGTTCGTGAAAGTTTACGCCGCCTCCTTGGTCGTGGTGATTATGTCCATTTCACCTTGTTAGTAAAACTAGATTTTTATAACATAAACTGTAAATAACCTATAGGAAACTTCGGAATGATAAAGCAATGTTATGACTTTAATATTAAGTGTGTGGATTTTTTTAGAAAAAACTTTGAAACAATAAAGCCTTAAAATTACTAATCATTTTATAAAACACTTTCGTATACTTTACTATTAAAAAAATCGCACTTTATATCCGGTCCAAATTGATTCATAAAATATTGTGTAATGCTGACATGCTCGTTATATTTAAGGAACGCATTCAGTGTATCTACCCATCTTCGCTCGTTAAGATAAATTGGTTTTCTAATAGTTCAATCACATTTACGGAAAAAATATCTACAGACTAACTTTTTGAAATCATTTAAAGAGAAAGTGAAAATTATCCAGTTATGCTAGCATGACATTTGGCAATAACACAGCGAATCAATCAGTTAAATAACTTAATTAGAAATTAAGTAGTTCTTTTCTTTAGAATTAAGTAGCGTTCCATTAGTTAAGTTTTTCTTCTAAAATTAAAGATCTATCAGTTCCAGCTCATATTCAAAGTTAAGCCTCTACTTTGCTACACTGATATTAAAATTTCACTTAGTTACCTCGCTGTCTAAGGCTTATTCTTACATCGAGGTTTCCACGCAATATTAAGTTTGGTCTGGGTAAATCACCACTCCTAGGAAGCGCGTTCAACAGAAAGGATTAAAGAAACGTAGCGAGGGTATTTATGCAAATGTTCAATCTCAGGATAAGAAAGGGAAGTTGGCCGGGAAAAATAAATCTTGCCCCTAAATTAAACATTCCTGCAGGTAAAGTGTTCATTTAATAAGAAAAATCAGGGAAATAAGATAGCGTTCACATTGAGTATTTTAGGACTGCGACGGCTACGAAATATTTTGTCGTGTATGAACGTGTATACGTAGTTACTTTACTCCAGTTACGTGTCTATAGTTAACAATCAAGAAATTTAATATCAGATAGGTGCGCAATAATTATTGCAAAGAATACAATCTTGAACGAAAGTGGATAACCTAATATAAGATCACATCATATTGTATAATGGGAAAAATAAGATATTATGAAACAACTGCACAATGTAGAAATATCAAAAGATAATTGCTCTTATTATTTTGTCTGCGTTGATGCGTTTGCGACGTGACCGGACACAATCCTCAATTTCGTAAGTTTATGTGAAATATTTTTTTGTATGCGAAAACTTAATAAGCTAGCGTTTTCACTTTCGTCAAATATTCTTATATTGTGTCACGGATTCATATTATCGTCTTAGTTGTATGTATGTTGGTCTAAATACAGAAACTGGTTTTGTTTGGTTTGGTTCCGGTATTGCTTATTAGTATTCAAATGGCGGATAGCTTCATGCTATTACCTTTTACGGACTGATAGAGCATCAAATTTACGGCAGTTTAAATGAGAGAGAAAAATAATGTACACACGTCAAAAGTGCCCAGCGATCGAGAACGCAAAGTTATACTAATTGACGCCGTCGTTAGTTTGGGCTATGTTTTGGGTTAATTTCCCAAAATTTGGATAAACTGCTATTATTCATTATTTTCACAAAATGTAGGGATCGTTGATGACTCATTAAGAATTAAAGAAAAAAAACAAACCTGGTAAATATTTATTGCAAAAATTAGACTTTTTTGATAAGTTTAAATAAAAAGAAACCTTTCCAAGTATTAGATCGTATTCATCACTATCCGGGTGAATGCACTACCAATCGAACCAACCTGGGGAAAGTAAATAAGTGTTAGTATCACTTTCCTCGATAAAAGGCCGGTCGGTTCATTCCCCTACTCCATCGTACGTGGCACTCTGCAAAAAAGCTTCATTTTGGAAGTTTTGCAATGCTTATCATAGAATCCATCATAGAGTTCCATTAATGTTTTATCTCGAGCTTATTCTTTCCGATGGCATCTGCAGCTTTTAAGCATTTGCCAATGAGATTGGTTGAAAGGTCACCCTTTCCGTTCATATGGATGGCCTGTGCTTCAGCAGCGAGGACATTAACAGGCTGATGATGGTGATGATAACCATAGCTTTACAGAGTCAGGAAAAAGAATCAATAGGTGGACCGAGTCTCTGCCGCATGAGATATCTTCGCAAAAGCTGAATATATATTTATGTTCATAATTATGAGGTGGGCTGAAATAGTTCACTGAGAACTTCATACGATAAAAGTGGTTTTTGGTCTTAAAACTTGTGCTCGGAAAGTTGACACTTGACATATTCTACTACCCGGATTAAGGTTTTAGAGTTAGATACCAGCCGCGAGGATTGCTGATGCGATAGAAAAATATGCCAGTTTTATACAAAGTCATTAAATATATTTTCAAATATCTTTTAAATGCTAAAAATATTCCATAAGTAGATATATGGTTAAATGAAGTGGAAATAATATATCTAATAAGGTTAGTTCATAACAAAGGGCCATTTTTACAGGTAGACGCAATGTTTGCCTTACCGTGTTTAGTAGATTAGAAAATAATACAAAATAAGACTTCTGATTTGGTGCGTAAGCATTTACAGACACTTATTGATGATTTGTCATAACATTTTTTTTTAAATCATTTAGATAAATTTTGTTAAATTTAATTGAGTTATACAACGAAGAAAGGCTGTGTTCGTGCTACGAGACTACTTATGATCGTGACGTAACTTCGTGTAAAAGGAGGAAAAACATTATTCAGACGCTATTAATCTTATTTAATCCGATTAAGTAATAAAAATATCCGATACAAATAAATTGCTATGCAGTACTTTTTATTGAAAAAAACTATATTCAATGGCACTGGTTAGCAGTTTTGGTCTGCGATCGTGAAAGCTAAGCAACTTTTGCAATTTTTTTTATACCGGTTACCCCCATTTTGTTACAGGCGTTTTTTTCTCTGTCTTTTCTTTAATCCCTCTTAGGGCGCTAGTTTTTTTTTGCACCTCTGTTCTTTTCGCGCTTTTTCTTTTTAATATCTTTTTTTTGTTTCACATTTTGGTTTGTTAGTTATATTTGTGTACATTATTTATGTTTACATTTTCTTGTTTTCTTGCTTCTGTGGTTACACATACTTTAATTATCCCTATTATTTCTTAATCACTTATCTAAATTCATTTGCATTTACTTTTTGCTAGTACATTTCTTTCCATTTCCAGTTTCGATGACAATACAATTCTTGTATATTTCTGATTTATAATTTCTTATTATCTTAGCATCATTATAATTTCAAATGTCAGAAATCAGAAATCAATATATCTTTATTCAAATTGTATGTATAGTACAACTCTTTTGAACCGTCCAAAATTTTGTTTTCCCTACCACTCGTTATGGACATATTTTTAGCTGCGGAGAAAAACGAGCGAAAAAAACTCCACAACATTAAAAGTCTAATGTAACAACATTTACAAATCATTATGTTGTTACAACGTCAATACAATTATGATTTATTGAAGTTATACTTCTTTAGGCGCGTTATGAAAAAATGATGAGAGTGAAATTTTAAGATGCGCGCGCATCACTGTAACACAAAATTTTAACAGCATGAAGTTGGTCGCTAAAGCGAAATGCTGTTACTTTTGTGTTTACCGCACATTAAAAAAATCTACCAACAAAATAGAAATAGAATCTCTATTTAGTGGGTGCTAACGATTGCATTGTGAAGGCCTATCAAAAGTATTTATTAATCTGGAACAACGGAACCAAAGCGCGATTCAGGAGACTACAGCGCCATCTCTTGACCATTGGTGTAGTAGAACCAAAAACCACATCTTTATTTTTCAATGTTACTTTTATGTTATATAATATAGAAAACCTTTTGGAATCATTGGAACATTTCTAACCCAAGCAGTAATATAATCAGACACTTTGTAATAAGCTTTTTTATTAAGTGCTTTTCTTATACTATCTTTAAATTTATTTATGGTTAACTCTTGGATATTGCTACGGACTTTAATGTATAAGCGAACACAAAGGCCTTTAAATGAATTATTAATTTGGTGAAGGTAAAGTTAGTTTATTTTTGTTTCTTGTATTAAGTGTGTGAACATCACTGTTTTTAAGAAACAAATTAATATTTTTACTAACAAGTAATAAATTTTCGTATATGTATTGTGATGCGACCGTCATTATTCTAAATTCTTTAACTTATTTCTTAACGATTCTTTAACTTTAAGATTATAAATTGATCGAATAGCTCTCTTCTGCAGCACAAAAATAGTTTGAATTTTGGCGGCATTTCCCTACGATAAAATTCCGTACGACATTACACTATGGAAATAACTAATCTGGCCGTATCTACATCCGTACATCCTACATGTACATAAATTCTTTTTTTTTCTTTTTGTTATCTTCGAGGTGCAATTTCCTTTTATACATATTAATCTTTATTTATTTTTATATCACTCTTTATAACACTTGCAATGGTTGGTGGATGGTAATATTTATTTAGTCAAAGGTACAACTACAGAAAACAATTTGATACATGTACTTAATATCTTGAATTAAGTTTCCCAATAAAATTGAATCCCAGTTAATGTTGCACACAACGTTATCAACCACATTTCGCTCCACTCTTTCAATAATATATTGTTTTGTCTTTATCGTGTATCTTTTCTTCAGGTCAAATGCAATAATATTTTTGAAGAAAAAAGCTAAGCTAAAGCTGTAAAAAGCTTTGGCTCGAAACATTAGAGAAGTGTTGAAAGTTTTCCTTTATTTATAGAAGAAAATGCCTATGATTTTATTTTTCTATTTTGTAGGCTGTAGCAGCGGTGGCGGGTGGCGGGTGACAGCGCTGGCGCGGCAGCGGCGCGCGGTGGCGAGATGAGCGTTGCAGCGCATGCACCGCCACCGCCGCTGTCCGCCGCCGAGGCGCTCTCCTTGCTGCTGTGGCAGCCGTACGAGTGTCGCTCACCGCCCCTCGCGCGCTCCCGCACCGATGGCGCCCTGGCGGCGGCCGCAGCCGGCGGGGGGGCCGCTGCGGCCTCCGCCTCGTGCGCTCTCCAGTCGCCAAACGGCGGTCGTCATGCGCGCGCGTCGTTTTGCGCGATTACTCCCCGCCACGAGATGCGGCTGCCCGTGCCGGCGCCCGCCCCGCTGCGCAAGTCGGACTCGGTCTCGGTGCGCGTTCCGGGCGAGCCGAGCCGACAAAACGTGTCCAGTGTGAACATAGTGCAGGTGCAGGATGCGACGCCCAGTTGTAATGTGAACAGTGCCGTGCAGACCGACAGGGAGAGGAGTGTAGCGAGCGCGGAGTGCCAGACTGAAGAGCCGGCGCGGCGGCGGCGCACCAGGCGTGCTCGGGCGCCGCGCGTGCCCGAACTGCTCGAGAGCGTGCCGCCGCCGCCGTACAGCACGCTACCGCATCCAGCTCTCCAGGGGCTACCGGGTCATACCGCCCTCCCTGGCCATCCGGTACACCCGGCACACCCAGCACACCCGGTGCACCCGGCGCTCCCGGTGCCAGTGCACCCTCCTCCCGCACCCATCATAGCTTCGCCGCACCCGCCTGCGCCGCGGTACCCCTTCCAGCCGATCCCACTCAGGTGCGCTACTTTTCAAACCACTACCAATAAAACATAAAAGCCATAGTTAGACATTTATGCACCGATTGACACTAAGTACAAGTAGAAATGTCTGCTCCGATCTGTTAGTCGGTCATGCCACTAGTTGCAGATTTGGAGAAAGGCGTCTCGCACTATTGTGAGAATTTTATTGCTGTCATCAAGTTTGTAGGTACACATAAAAGAGACCTGAACGCACTTTGTTAGGGATTAACAAAAGCATTTTTAGAGCTCAACTTAATGTGTACATACATACATACTTAACTAAATGGTAATGCGATTTCACATGCGAAGACAGCGTTCGTTGAAGTCTTTTGTGCGCTCGTTCTGCAATTATTCAACGTATACAATCAAAATGACGTGTATGAGGTAATATTCATTTGGTAAGCCTGTATTTTAATTTACGTTACATAGTCGACAATGTTTGTTGTCGGAAGTAATGAATATACGTTGCGTAACCACATCCACCTCATGCTTTAGTGGACATGACGGTGCGATATAAGTCGAGAAAAAAACAACAATAAATGTATCAACAACTTATTCAGACATTCATATGGCTTCAATAGTGGAATTTGCCCGTGGAACTCAATAGTGGAACACGTTGGAATCGTCCTCTTTAAAGCTAATGAATTACTGTAGGTATGTAAATAAAGGAAAAAAAATCAAAATTGTTTTTACGGTTGCATTCGTGGACTTACTTCGAAAAGAGTTTCAATGTAGTAAGAAAATCTATCTATCTTTAATTTTACACTGATATTTTTCTTATCAAGAAAAATGAAGCATTGTTTTCAAGTAAAAAAGTTTATTAAAATTGTAACAAATTACAATAATTTTGAAATTACTGTTCCTATCTTGCCATAACTAATGGTTATTAAAGATGGTCTCGTTATTTAATGCGATTGTCTATACTAATATTATAAACAGGAAATATTTGTTTTGTATGTAATAAATAGGCTCCAAAACTACTGGACGGATTTAAAAAATTCTTACACATTTAGAATCCTACATTATCCCTGATGAACAAAGGCTATAGAATATTTAAAAAAAAGTTAGGGTTCCGTATGAAAACTTCGATGATGTAACCCAAGGTGTCAAAAATATATAAAAACATCCTTATATCGCTTATGCTGCGGAAGTCATTGACAATAGAGCAAAGTATGTAATGTACTAAAGATTTATAGAAGACATAAATATCTACAAAATAGTCCGCGATATCATGTCTTACCATTACAGTTATGTCACAACTAAATGTCACCTGCGGTTTCATCCGCGTTAATTTGAGAGAAAGGTTATAGTGAGTCAAACTTAAAAGATGGGCATATGCTGTCGTGGACTTTTTTTTAGAACTTTAAAAGGGCAAAAATTCCCTCACTTTTTTGTGTAACTTTAATCATTTACGCAGCGCACGCAACGTAATTTCTTAAATGGAATATTTTCCCGTTTTTGCAACATTTTACATCGATGCTTTGCTGCTACCGATCGCAGCCTGATGTTATATAGCCTATTCTATTATATAACCCTTCCTCGGTAATTGCACTTTCTAATACAAAAATATTTTTTTAAATCGGAACAGCAGAGCAATGGTGCATTCGGTACAACGGGTCCTAAACTTCGCAACGTTTTATTTACTTGGAATGGAAGGTTTATAATTATTACGAAGAAAGTCATTGTGTATAATACAACCTTCTGACAATCTTACATATTTATGTATATATTTATATGACAAGGTCATTCAACTGATGCTGATTTGTTTTCATAACTAAACGCGTATGCGTTAAGTAAATAGTATTATTTACCTAATGGAAATTTAAATATTTCCAACACTTACATTGTGTAAGTGTTATTGCTTAAATTGTGTGTAGGTGAATTTATTTTGCAAAATTGACACCGTTAAACAGTCTTTACTACACGCAATAGTAATATAAAAGTTAACGAACATCGTTAGTGATGTTGTGTCATCACATTTTTTTAATTTACAAACGAAACATTTGAAGTTTTGTTATAATAAGATAATACACTTTGTCCATGAATCCATTAGCATTGCTAAAAACACCCAGAGTACGGTTATTCATCTAAAAATCAAAAGTGGAATATCTTTAGAAAAGTTTTTTTATGAAAAACCGGAATTAAGCTAATGTAATTAGTTTAAGCACACTTAAAGTTATGTAGCTCTTAGATATGTAATGATAATTTTCAGTAATAAATGTTATGTAATCTATCTCTCTATAGTCGTAAACTTCGACACTAATAAATAATGAAACATACGAATTATTAGCAATTTTATCTGGAAGCATTCTCCAAACTTTAGGCAGGCTGATTGATACTTTAAGTTCCTAGACTTTAAAAACAATATAAACTCTTTCATATTTTCTTATTATTATGTACTTAGACACAAATGAATCGCTGAAACATAATGCTTAAAAATCGCCCCAATTCGTTTTTTTTTCTTTATTATTAAGCCAAGGATTATGATGATATTATTTTTCGGAAAATCTACTAGTGATCACAAAAAGAAAGTCCTGATGGTGTTTCTGTATAGTTTTTTTGTCCTATTTTTTTTTTATTAGTATATTGCACCAAGGCGAAATCGAAATTACTCCAAGTTTACAATAATTATCACCATTTATTGTACTTACTTAGACACTAAAAAGTAACGATGTTTACTTTTTTTAAATCTCAACATTAATCTAAATTATCTGAGACGACGATGCTGGTACCTACATAATTAAACAGGCCACATGCTTAGTGGACTAATGGACTAGAACTGGTTCCTTCGTCGGCCACATGGTGGAAAGTGGTATTGTAGACGTTCGCCATACATACCTTATGGGAAAAAACACCATGTGACGTTTGCTGTGGCTGGGACAGTGCCAGCGGAATACTGGTGAATGTAATAAGTGAATTAAGGCCCACTTGCACCAAAGTTTTTAATTCAAATTAAGGCATAATCGTTTTTAAAGCATCATTACATCTTTGTCAATCGTTAAAAGTCAATAAGAGGTAAAATGAGGAATAAACATGTTTGAATTTAAAAATTAATTTAAGAACTTAGGTGCAAGTCGGGCTCAGTGTACCTTTGTTTTTTAAAAAAATATTTTAAAAATTAATCTGCTTGATTTATAAAGTCATAATAAAAATTAACTAGCAAAAATGCCTCGGTTCATATGTTCTTTCTACAGCCCGGGATTCTTTAAAAGAGGCGTGAATGTCGCAGGCTATGTATGGCTGGTGTGATAGGCAAAACTGCTGTACCAGCTATCTTCGCGTCTAGACTCCAGCGTCACCTAATTACAGGTGGAGTGGAGTCATTTCGGTCGGACCTTTCAATAAAAAAAGGTGTCAGTAAGAACGTGCCAACTATACCCAGTTGATTTTATTGTAGTATTTTTTTTAAAAACTATTTCATCATCACTATCATCATCATCGACCCATGCTCGTCCACTGCTGGACATAGGTCTCCTCTAATGCACGCCACTGCTCCCGATTTTCTGCCACTCTCATCCAGCTCACGCCAGCCAGCCTACGAATGTCATCGTCCCATCTTGTCTCAGGGCGTCCCACACTACGTTTACCGAGTCGCGGTCTCCACTCAAGAACTTTACGGCTCCATCGGCCGTCAGTTCTGCGGCTAATGTGACAAGCCCACTGCCACTTCAGTTTGCTAATTCGGTGGGCTATGTCGGTGACTCTGGTTCTCTGGCGGATTACATCATTTCTGATGCGGTCCTTCAGGGATACTCCGAGCATAGCCCTTTCCATAGCTCTCTGAGCGACTTTAAACTGGTGGACCAGTCCAGTCGTGAGTGTCCACGTCTCGGCGCCATATGTCATAACTGGGAGGACGCACTGATCGAAGACTTTCAACTTGAGACATTGAGGGATGGGTGACGAGAAGACTTGACGAAGGCTACGAAATGCTGCCCAGCCCAACCGAATTCTTCTATTGGCTTCTCTCTCAAAGTTGTTTTTGCCTAATCGGAGCGTTTGTCCTAGATAGACATATTCCTGAACAACTTCGAGCTTTCTTCGAAAAGCTATTTAAGTACTAGTAATTTGATCTATAAAATCGATCGAATATTTAAAAAAAAATCATGAGGCACATTTGCTGAGGTAGCAAAAACTTAAGCAAACAAGTCAACAATTCCAAATACATAGTTACCTCATTGATCAACAGTTAGAAATTGTTTACAAAGAAATATTTGTACTAATAAAAGGATTACTATAAACAAAGTCACGTAACGATACAATTTTCTATGATATCGAAAGCGTAGAATTTTAAGTAAGACTAGCTGACCCAGCGAACTTCGTACCGCCCTAAAAAAAATAGGGATTGTCCAGCGGACAAAATTGTGAATCTAAACCATTCTCAGATCCCCTTGAACACACACAAAAAATTTCATCAAAATCGGTCCAGTCGTTTAAGAGAAGTTCAGTGACATACACACTCGCAGAAGAATTATATATATAAAGATATGTAGAAACTTCTATGGAAATCTGTTACAACATGGAACAAACACAATTGTATATCGTTTCCCAAAATAATATTTATTTTTTTGAGAAAATAATTCAAGGAAATTTTCTTTCCTAAATTCATAAACTATTTAAAAATAAATTAAAACCGATTCACCACAGAATCTTTGAAAATTTTTATATGTGATCCTGGAATACTTTAATGTTAATCTGTAGGGAAAAGATCAATTTACGATTTAGTGTCGCGATCATAACATAAGGCCTGTATTAACGTACCTACTGGACAAAAAATCAAAAGATTATGCAGCGTTTGTTCATGATTATACGATCGTTCATGATTAAGTTAAGGTTACTCGAAGTTATTCAAATTATAACCTGAAAATGCATCTTTTTCAATTAATCCTTACTTAAACAAAAATATGTTACAATATGAGTTGGATAATTCAATGCATGATATCAGTTCTGCACTGCATAGCATAATGAACAAGCAACTCGATGATAGCAGATAATAA